CATCTTCGTCGTCTCGGGTTTTGTTCGTCGCTCATCAGTGTTCAGCGACATAACATACAGATCTAAAGTTTGCCTTTTTCATGGGTCAACCACATTTATTACACACTTCATATGAACGATATGGTTGTGTTCGCATGACTGTTCACATGCAAACTGCATGAAAAACATTCTTCTGTAGCACAAAAATTGTTTATTCGTCTCATTCATCATTATTGATGCATGCAGTGAACAGCAATTGTAGCAGTTCAAAATCGTTGCTTTGCTTGCCAATCGAATGAAAACTCAATTGTAACAAGCACATCTTTGACAGTTTCGTAGTAGTGCCACTGAAGCGCTGCCTAGAACAACAATGAATTCCTCGAATCTACCATTGAACGAAGTACATTCTCCAGCGCATTAGCAATTCTAATGATCTTTTGTAACACAGAGTATTTGTTCAAGTACTTCTTACAGAGAGTATTTGTAAGCAACCAAATGTTTGCAGTTCAACCAATTTCGTTTGTACGTTTGCAGTTCAACCAATTTCGAGTACCCTAGAGCACTAGCTTGTGGGTTCAAATTTTTTGAAGTATGGCATATAAACTGTCACAAATTTACATGCAAATATATATTTTATTCACAATCAGTCATTGATGAACGTTTCAAACCTTTGCACAAGATTCTATTGAAACGAAATAGATGAAAGATTACAATCCTATCACAATGCGAACGTGAAGACGTTTTTCGATTCATTATTCAACAACAAACGTAAAGCTTTTGAAATACAGTTCATTCATAAAAACGAATGTATACTAGAATTCATTCAACGTGTATTACAAAACGGCTCTCAACTGAACGTACGCAAAACTCTGCTCGAAATTTTGATTAACATCAACCTGAACTGAGTAATGCATTCACACTCAATTAGTTCCCATTTTGCCAGGATCGGCTCACTAGCAGAAATGATTTCTGAAATAAGCAACTAGACGATGCGAGTGAATTGAGATAATGATAAGACGGATGCAATGGGGATAAAACTGAGTGTGAAATTCGCTCACGATCAGTGTGAAAACAACTATGAGAATAGCAAAGATTATTTTTTAATTCATTTCTTAGAATGAATAATTCGACTTAATCAACTTATTTTCGTCATATCACAACGCAAATGACAATGACGCACTATGTGCACTTCAACAATTTATGTACATGACTGACGCGTTATATATACAGTAAATGAAATTTCAAAGTGGATATTTTACAGAATTGCAAAGCAAAGCAATTAAAATGTGACCTAATTTGCATAAGCATTATTGTTTCTCTCTGAAAAAAAAACATAGAGAGT